ATCTATAACAATATTCAAATAGCTCTTAACCCAATTACCATCGTGACACAACAAAACTAGATTTCTTCAGCAAATCAACATAAAGTGCCATTGGAAACGACAAAGAACAAATTTATAAAAGCCCATTCGTGAATTATTAATAAGAAAAGGCACTTTTTTGTGAGAAACATATCGACAATAAATTTATATGTATATACAATAATTTATATCTATTTTCCAAGCTAAGTAGAATGGAATAGCCAAAAAGTAGGTTATGATCTTTTCGGTTACAATCTCTTGTTAGCAAAAAGGCCCAACCCAGACTCCCAATAAAATAATATACACAACACACACAGCAAATTCCAATCGAGTTCATGGATCGACCATGAAAAAATGTGTGTTAACAGAATTTAATTTTAATTTTTTTTTCTAAGTCTTGAAAGTATGATCACTAACTAGAAACGTCAAATAATTCATAAATTATTCATCAACAAAAATGAGATATATTTATTTATACCAAAAAAATAAAAAAAAAGTTGGGCTTCAAAATCGGAATGCGTTTGCAGTAATTTTCTCACCACCTTGCACATTATGCACATGAATAATTCCTCGAATTGCTGCACGTTTTTCCATGCTGGTGCTATTTTTATAAATTGATTTGAGCATTTAATCGATTTGTCCAAGAAGCAGTCATTTTAAAAAGTTCTGGTGCTTGTTTTTGACAGCATGCAATTTAGATTCAGCAGATACTTGAAGATCAGCACTGCCACTTCATAATTGAGATATTTCATATTTACCTTAGCCACTTAATCTAGTTAATTGAAGTAGCGCTCTATTCAGCCATCACAAGTCGCTCATTATTTACTTACTTCTTCATATCTGCACAAATTGGACATGGTACTAGAGGTGCGCGCGCGAAATAAAAAAAATATAGAAAAACAGCTGAGAAAATGTGTTGATTTTGTTACACCTTGCTATACATTTTATTGCACCAAACATAACAAAAGCAAAAAAAACATGACTTTCAAGGTTAGATTTATGGAAAAAAAGCTCTTTTTCTTGTCATGCAGCCAATTTGTTGTTTGTCAAACTTTAACGCCAAGGCTTAAAGCTGCATTTAATTGATTGATTAATAGGTGAAGATCGTGCGTCAAAATTGTGTAAAACAGGAGTGGTTTACAAATTGCGGGCTTGTTGAAAATTGATTTTTAAGCTCGCATTGTTCTCACCGACATTTGGGCGAATTGAATTTGTCGGATGTAAGTTTCATATATCGCTTATTAGCTGTTCCTTATTTACGCTGTTGATTATTGATTTTGAACTCCTATGAATATCCTCAACAAGATCATATGTCAAGTTTAATTAAGTGAGATATTATAAACATAAGCAGTACGCACATTATTTTACATTTTTATGGCTTTTTAACTTTGATAAAAATGCAATAAAAACTCAAAATCATGGTAATAAAATTGTTCACATGAATCGATTAATGCGACTTTAATTGAGCGGCAACACTTGAAAGTAATGCATTTTATATCAAGAAAATCGTGAAATATGAGATATATTGCGTTATATTGACACATTTAAAAGACATAAGCTGGTTGGATATTAACTTTTTTTTGCAGTATAGACAAATATTTGTTGGTTTTGAAAATTCTTTGCTTAACATCCAGCAGATCGAATCGCAATATGCATTCTCTTCTATGGGAACATTTAACCTATTATGTAGTGTCAGAAATTCTAACATGCTTAAAATGTTTTAATTTCAATGTCGAGACAGAGTGTTCAGGAACCTTACATTGACATCCTACCAACACTCATCTTTAATAAAAGGAGCTGGAATTGCAATTTTCAGTCCAAAGAAATCAGTTGGGCTGCTTAAGTAGTTAAGGTGAGCTTTTTATGTTATTACTTTGGATTCTCAAAAGGATTAAACCTATTTTAATAAATTCAGTTAATTCCGGAAAATATGATGTTAAAATGTACAAGAATTGCTGAAAACTTTTTCATTTGTTTCATAAGTTGTTCCATGTTCCACGTACTTACTCGTCTTTATGAATCAATTTTATATAAATTATCAGATTTAATTGACACTATTTAAAGAATTTTTACACTCTTAAAAAAATAAATATTGGACTTATAATTATTCAATATTTTAAGAAAGAACTTATTCAAAACCGAAAAACAATATTTTCAACTAAATGGCCTTTACTAAGAATTTGTTTTCTTAATTACAAATAGACAATCAGTTTCATGGCAAAATTATGGACGATCCCAAACAGTCATATTCAATAACTCCGTAAATATTCCAAGTGTTAATTCATAAGCAAGTATAGTTCAAAATTAAATCAATTCCAAGCTTCGAAAAAGAAGTAATCCATCAAAAATTATAGCTATACTCAACATAAATGTAAATATCCCAAAAAAAGCATTAGGAAAGAATATAAAAACAGAAATAAATCCAAAATTTATACTGGTTTATTCATTGCTGTTCAGTTCCTTTATTCCACCAAATGTAGATTAATGAATTAGTCTAACTGAATTAGATTCATATTGCCCATTAAGTGACGCGGATGTTCAGAAAAAAAAACCAATTTGAGAAGCCTTGAAATGCAATCTGATTTAATCGTCTTGCGTTAAAAGTTCTTTTTAACGCTTTACAATAATAGAAACATTAAAACGGCACATATTCTCTCTTTAAGTTCGACAAATCACTGTCGGAAGTCTAATTTCATACAAACTGAATGTGCAGCTCATTTAAATTTTCGGCAAATTGTCATAATTAAAATTATTCTGTGGCTTTAAATTTAATCGATAAATCACTTCGTAAGTCTCCTGAAAACGAGCAGATAATGGATTATCGTGACAGCGAAATAAATCTTCCCTACGAGACATTGCGTGATGATGATGCAATGGATATGTGGACAATGAATATTTTATTATGTTACTTCTGACTTTTCTTTCATTTCTTTTTTGGATGTTTGTAACTTCTGTCGCAGAGTTGGGATTTACAGGACTTCAATGTGTGATTGAATTACTTGATGAGTCAGTCGCTAGTCGAAAGCTAGGATTATGCTTAGGATTTAGAAGTTTTTAAATTGCTGTCGGTTCAATGTTGATCTAAGCTATAAAATAGTTGTTAGACTATATGTTATTTACAATAAGGTTTGGTGATCGAATTGCGGGTTACTCTGAAAGATCATGATCATGATAGAAAGAATATGCTGTACATTCAGATGTGATTCTTAGATAATATTAAAGAACAGTAGGAATCTATTGATCTATTTCGATCTAATCTATTGATCTTTTTCCAGCTAATCTATTTAACTTTTTCCAGCTAATCTAATGACCTATTTTGAGCTAATATTTTCTTCAAAGTATATAATTCTAATCTGCTTTTTGCCAAAAAAATAAAAATCCTCAAACAACATCATGTTGACTTTAAAGTCGTAAAAATGCTGACAACCTAGTTTTCTGACCCATCACGCATAGCAGATTAACAGTTCTGCTTCTTAGTGAAAACAAAAGGTAAGCTGCCCAAGAAGAAGAACCAAAAGATTCGACATGAGGAATGATTTATGTCAAAATGTTCCATCAATAAATATTTTTCAGCTGTCAAAAAGACAAGAATTAAATTTATTTTGCATTCTCAATTACAGATAAAAACAGCATCATGTTGAAATAATTCGTGTAAACAATCGAATTCAATATGTGTACTTACATACAATATGTAATACATAAAAATGAAAATATATAGACATAAGCCAAAGAATTGATATGTGGAAATGCCATTTTTTTTTACCTTCCAAAATATCAATTGTTGTCTCACAATTGCACAATTTAAAGCACAAAAAAAGTGAATTATGTAATGCACAAAAGAGGTTCGATTAAGATGTGAACGATTTATAAATTGAAATGTGCTGTTCAATGTGAACTCAATCAATAATTTGATATTTATTTGACTTTTTTTTACAAAGCTATTCAACATATTATTTTCAATTGTTTTAACACTTGAACATAATGTAAGTACATAATGAGTATGCATTCATAAAGGCACACCGAAATTTAAGTGACCGACCATGAAAAAATTTCGTAAACTTAAACTCTTGAGAAGAAAAAAAAATCTTAAGGTAGGTTTGTATTGTGATTTATTGGTGTCTGAAATTTTTAATTGTTAGCTGTAATTACTTACCCTAAGCTCTGACTCATGCTCTTAGCAGATCATTAAGCAACATTAACTGAAATGTTTTTTTTTGATGACTCAATTTTAAAAATTTTAAAAATCAGTTTTAAAGTTCGCAAAAGTTCCAAAAATCAAATCCAAAAAGAATTTAACAATTAAAATCGTGCGATGACAATAAATTATAAATCATAAAATGCATGACTAATAACTCGAGCCAACCGTAAATTACAAATCGCTTCGAATTCGTGATAGATTATTGAACTTGTAAAAGCAATGCATTTGCCATTTTAGAGCACAGAAGCCGATCAAATACATACCAGCATGTTTTAAACACTCATAATTTTTGATTCATATCTCGAGATTTCCAATATTGCAACAATTCATGCAAATATGAACAATATGTGCGATGATGTTTATAATTCAAAGTCTTTACCATATAATTTTAATGTAGATGCTTTCATAGAGCCGCCTTTTGTGGATTAATTATACGGCATTAAATTCAAGGTAAATTTATTCATTTAATCTTGGTGTTTTTTCATAATCAATCACATCTGGGTTATTAACACCTTTATTTCAGCAGCAATTCAAACATTTCAAAATATGCTTAACCCACCGACACAACGAGGCGCCAAAAATTGTCCACAAACCGACAAAAAAAGAGTATTTTCTTCCTGTTTTGATTTAAAAAGTCATTTTAATGTAATTTACATGTAAATGCATGCTGATAGCCGAGCTTAGACAAGTGTTTTGATTTATGAAAAAGTTAATTGGAATAATTAATAAATAATTTATGTTAATTTTTCAATTTTAAAGAATTTTTTATTCAAAAATATCTAGTTTCGCTATTTTACACTTTATTTACACTGATGTTCATGCTTAATTGATTGATTTATAATGTACGTTGTTAACTCCTTAATATTCTCTAATAAATTTTGTGTTGAAAATGCTGTAGTGTCTATTTTTTTGTTGTTCGTATCATCACACTTATTAATTCTCAGTAAATTCCACTTGCTACTACTTATTTTTGTCATGAAGTATCTTTTGAAATATTTAAAGGTTTTTTTTTGTGATTTTTTTTTGTCAAGTTTTTGAGTTATGGCAATGAATGTAACTGCTTTCATATAAGAAGAGTGAAATAAAAAATTTTGCAATTTTTAAGCGTCATCCTTAATTGGAGACTAGGAACTTTGTTTGGAAAAAAATTTCCATTTTTTCCAATATTCTATCTCGTTTGCATCAAGTTTCCTAACTTGTAGCAAGAAGTGGATCTGTATAATCAGGTGATGGTTGTTGATCTACTTTTGGTCCCAATTTCTTCTTGTACTTTTTCACAATTTTGGTTTTTGAGAGTTTATTTTTGTATTTGCTTAATTTCATTAGTTTCTTATCACTTATCTTCTCATCTGATTTATCCTCGACTTCTTGCTTCTCTCTTAATTTCTCTCTATCAATCATTTGTAGTTGCTCGAATATATTCTTCGGACTTGGATGTGAGGGGTGAGGTTTTGTAGAATTTTTATTAGCATATATTACAACATAATGTGAAAAGGCTGGATCACTTCCAGATGTCATGTCAGCAAAATCTTTAAAATTTTCAAATGGATCTTCTGGATAGTAAGGCTCTTTTTTGCCTGTCAATGCTTCTGCAACTGGTTTGCCATCGTAATTGGGTGTGTAAAATTGATCACTTTTTGCTTGATATCTCTTACTAGGATCTTCATCATCAGGATAGAAAGTTCCACCTCGCATGACTGTAAAATCACCCGAACCTAAGATTGATTGATCAAAGACGCCTAAACGACTAGGTGGATTATATCTATTTGCAATTGATGCCGCTAATGATGAAGAAATTTGGAATGGTCTAATTGAAGGTATGTTAGCAAGAAATGGAAAGAATGTCTGCTCAGCAGCAGTTGGATTATGTGGATCAGATGATGATGATTGGATAACAACTTGCGGCTCATAATGTTCAACTCGCGAGACTGATGTATCGACTTTTGCCCTGTCTTGACTTGGTGATGATGAATATTGACGTACGACACGCGATTCAGATCTGACTACACTGTATTCAGGTGGCGGCAATTCATCAGCTTCCATCCACATATCACTGTCTTCATGATCATCATCTGTAAAAAATAGAAGATAAAAATTAATAAGTTTGTTGCCACAAATCTCAAATGTCTGTTGCTATAAAATTTAAGTTTTAACGAGTAATATCTACTGACATTGTTGCGGCATATCTTAACTCATCTTCAGTTTCTTTCTCGTTTCTTCTTTTTCCCTTAAACAAACAAGTAACCCCCAAAAAAATTAAATGAAACCAATTGAGTAAGAAGAACTGACTACTGAAAAATTGATAATGCAATTTTTTAAAGACAATCGTAATAGTTTCGCAATATCTTCATATTATTTGGTAGTTGATCAAGTCTTTATATTTCTACGTCTCCAAAATATTGAGTTGTTTTTGCGTAATGAATTTTTATCACAATTTCTTTTGTCTAACATTCAGACATACAGCGACATTACAAATTCAAAAGGTAATAATAGATAATTGATATTATAAGCATTTAAAAGTCATATCGTTATTATTAGTACTTTAAATTATCTCCGAACAACTTTCAATGGTACTACAAGTTAATTCAATTGCGAATTGTGTCCAACATTTTAATGACCAAAGCCTGTGCGAGGATTTATATAAGTTTTACGAACAGGTCTTGTTTATTGTTACTTCGTGTGACGTTAAAACTTTTTCCTGTATCCGTGCTGATTGTACGTTGACTGATTAACATACTTGGCTCATTATATTCTATTCATTTCGTCTGATTTATAGACTTTTTAAGATTGTTGTCAAAACACATGCTTCTAATAAGTTTTGGCGGCATAATTATTTCTAACCTCAAATTTTTTCAAAATTTCAAATTAGAAAAATCAGTTGGAATTTAATAAAGTCACGTTTTACGACAAAAGTAAAGAGATTAATGTAGGCTTGACTCACAATATGTTTTTTACATTTTACAGATAAACACAGGATGACGATTTTGAATAAGAGAAGAATGAGGAAAAAATTAAAATCGAGAATTTGTGTTATTCAATTATGAATGACTACACATGTAGATATAAAATGAGAGATTACATAAATAATTGTGACTTTCCTCATATCAATAAACATTTCAACGTAATTGTTAACGTGTAATACAGCAGTAAGTAAGCATTCACATCTTCATCAAAACAGTACAAAGATAATCTCGACAGCTTCCTTTGAATTCAATAATTTTCTACGTGATAATTAAAGAAATCTGCAATAATCCATTAAATATATATTTTTTTCATAATGTATGGAATCAGATTGCATGAGTGAGTAAAGGTCAGACGGAGAATGACTGTTGCACAATCGAATCAAAATAATATTCAGAGGAAGTTATGTAAATTTCACCTCAGACAAACGCACACAATATTTTTGTTTTCAATCTCTTCCACAATTGTTGTTGCGTGCTAATCTCCACAAAATAGGAAGCTAATGTATGTTGAATTATTTTAAATCAATTTTAAATTTCTTTCCATTTGTAATTAATGAAAACAACAATTTTATTTCTTCATTCATTTCAACTCGACATTTCCTCTCGAACTTTCTTCATGAGGCGTCAAATGGAAGTTACATAATCATCAACAGACACAGCATCGTCAAAACATGAAGAAAATAAGCGCGAATGAAGAGGAATAAATAAAGAGAAATGAGAGAATGAGGTTTATGGCGTGTAAATAGAAATGTGTATAGTAGCACTGAAATGAAGATGCGATTTAAGTGGATTACAGCACTGACTAAATAATTGTATGCAAATATGGTACTTTACGATCGAGATAACTGGCGGTTCTCTTCAAATTTGACGTGATTTATTGGTATGATGATAGAGTAAGTCTTGTTATTTCTTTGTTGGACTCAAACTTAACATAATGTTGTGAACACGTTTTAAGATCTTTTTTTTAAAGTTCATTTATTTATATCAAACTTAAAGTTGTGTTATAAATTTATACAAATTAATTATTGAAGAGAGAGAGAAGAAAAAAATAAAAAATTACATCATATTCAATTTAATTAGCATCAAAATACAATTCCAAATAGTGCTCTCTGAAACAATTTTTAATAATGCTCAATGAATGAAAAGCCCTTATCTGCTGTGGTAGATTATTGAAATCCGCAAATGCTCTAATGTAAAAACTCTGCGCTCCTTGACTTGTACGACACATTCTTATTGTGAAATCTCCTCGATTTCTTGTCGAATGATTATGAATATCGCTACCTAATTGTATATCGACATTATTTTTAATTAAATTCGATGTAAATTTAAATACTTGAAGCGAGCAGTTTGTTTTACACATTACAGAGACTGGCAAAAGTCTAATGCTATACAATACTTCCTTTCCAGCAAACCAACTTTTCCTTAATACAATTCTTAGAGCTTTTCTTTGAAAAATCTCAAGAGACTTCATTTGACCAATTGAAAGACAAGACCAGACCTTACTCATATAAACTAAATGTAACTGCACATGTGCATAATATAAATCTCTTGCTCTTCGTAACGCGTATATAAACGGAGTAATTCTTTTTTTTTTCTTTTTTTTTAATTTCATCGACATTACATTTGAATGTAAGCTGTTCATCAATGATAAGACCTAGCAGTTTTATATTTTCAGATCTTTTATAGCCGTTCCGTTAAAAGATATGTTTAATGCCCGCTCTGTAAAGCTCTCAAATCTCTTTCTTCCTTGAAATAAGACATATTGTGTTTTCTTGGCATTAGGACTAAGAAAATGATTACTGAGCAATTTATGAATAAGCATTAAATCTTGTTCTATGTTTGCTTTCATGTCTTTTGTATCATTTCCGAAATTGACAATTGACATGTCGTCGCAGTATAAATATAAATTTCCATTTAATTTCAAATTGAAGACACTATTTATGTATAAATCGAAGAAAGGTCCTGATAGTACACCGCCCTGAGGATCCTACATTAATTATTAGAAATTCACTTAAATTTCCATCAATACTGGCTGCCTGCTGGTAAAATAAAATTTTATTGTAGTTTCATACATTCAACAATTTACTTCCACAATTTTAAAAATCGTTAGAAATTTGAATTTCAAAATTCATTACAATTTCAATTTTTCAAGTCAGAAATTCAAATTTTTGAAAACCGTTAAATATAAGATTATTAAAAGGAAGTTAATTCGCATTTAGTGACTTGATAGCCATTTTAATAGCACCTTCTCTGGTGCGACTCCCACCAGTAAATCCAGTTGCATGAACAAAAATTGACCCTTTAATGCCTGAAACATTCTCCAACTCTTCATCTCGTAGGCCAAACCATTTCTTATTCAAGGTTTTTCGAGAAACAAATGATCCTTGCTCAACTGGAACTGCCTGAATACGAAAAGTAGTGTCTGCCTCTTTGAAGATGACAAATTTGATCTCAACATTGCCAATTTCTTTCTCAAGGTCCAATAAATGCTCTTTCCATGGACAGAATCTCTTTAACTCAATTAAACATCCAGTTTCATGGACATTGTATCGATTTTGGACAGCATCTTCAATTATAGTTCTTGCAGGTAGCCACGAACATGCAAAATATTTAACTTTATCAAGGAATTCAATTCCAACAAATTTAACAGCTTCTTCGAATGCCTTATCAACTTCAAGTGGTGTCATTTGGTCCATCCAGTCAGGATTGAGGTTTTTAACACGGCTACTAAGATCTGTGCTGACTCTATAACGTGGCTCGCCTTCAAATTGAGGAACTCCATTGTCAATAGCATCGATTTCTTGTACAAATGCTGAATATACTTTACGAAAGACACTTTTGATCTGTTTTTCTGACAACTTTATGTTGTATTCTTTGAGAATTTCTGGAATGATTTCCTCTCCATAATGGACATAAACTAAGCCAGCAGAGCTCAGTCTAATGTTGCTAAAATTATCTCCAAATTCAGGTCGAATTGATGAAAATGTTTCCTTAAATGTTGCTTGATGATGATCAAATCTTTTCTTCGATGGATCATAAATGGCACCTACATCAACAAGAATATCGCATTGATCCAAAACTCTTTGATCTCTGCTCCTCAATAAGCCATGACTTTTAAATGCTGGATGATTTCGCAGCATATATACAGCAAGAACTTCATCGCAATGAAATGTACCAGAATGAGTTCCGATCGTATTTTGTGCTATCTTCATTTTATTGATGTTCAATGATAACTTTTGAATAGATATTAAGTAAGTAGATTAAATTAATTATAGTAGATTTCCTTTTAAAAATATTCTGAATGAAAACCAACCTTAGAAAATGCTCTGAAAAATGCTTGCATTTTAACGTATATTTTGCTTTTAAATATTTTGAACCTTAAAGTTCTACAAAAAAAATTGATCAATTTTGATTTCAAAAAATTTCCGTTTAGTCTTGTCTTGATTTCTATGCTTTCTGACAGTAACAACCACTGGAATATGAAGATAGTAGCTTGGAACGTCTCGGGTCTTCGGAGTTGTGTTTCAAAAGGCTGTGTTGAATATCTCTTGAGAGAAAATGCCGATATTATTTGCTTGAGTGTATGTTGAACATTTTTTCTACATTAACTAATGCCATTTATCATAATAAGTATCTGATCACATATATAGGAAGTCAAGTGCAGAAGTGAAGAGGAAGTTCCAGTTAAAATGAAATTGAGAAATTATCATGCATATTGGAATGTTGAAAAAGGAATGTCAGGTGTCGGATTATTATCGAAATTGCAGCCATTAAGAGTGTCGTATGACTTACCAGTTCCATTTTCTGAAGAGAAGCGATTAATAACTGCAGAATACAGCAAATTCTTTCTTGTTTTTTTTTTCATTTAAAAGCGTCATACGCATTTTATTGGATTGTAATTAATTATATAATAATACAAAAATCAAAAATCAAAAATTCATAAGATATTCAAATAATATAATTCAATAAGATGGGACTTTTTATCCATTACTATGACTTAATAACTTCCAATAATTACAATGCAAAAGAACCACACTGGTTCCAATAAAAAAAGAGACTAAAGTAAATATTGAGGAGAGACTGTCAGTTGATCGTAAGAAAACTGCTGCAAAGTCACTTGGAAACGCATCTAAACAGCCATAACTGCCATGAACATTCAAATTGTAGTTGTAAAAAGTGTCTTCGCTAACTTTTAACGTTTCTTTTTTTTTTGAAAAGTATTTGTTTGTTTTGATTTGTAATTATTCATCAAATAATTGAGTTCTTTGTGTATATCTGCTGAATTGACGACAAAGAACCATTTTTGGATAGGAGGAAGGACTTTAATCTTGACTTAAACACGTTCAACGACTCAATAGTTCTCAATTCAACGGGTAAGCTATTATAAATTTTTGCACCAGCAATTTCCACATCATTTGACATAAATTTGGATTTATAATCTTTGATTTTTAGCTTTTGTACTCTTGTTGACCTGAGAGGTTCCATATGGACTAAAGCATCATCCTGTTCCAGTAAAGACTTCTTGACCATCATGCACAAGGATTTAAAGATAATTCCCATCACTGGCAATACATTCTTTGCATATTTTTCGTATAAATCCTTCGTGTGAGTAAGAATTGGAAGTTTGTAAATCATTTTAAGAATCCTATTCTGTAATATTTGTAGGTCCGCGATGTCTTTTGAGGGAAGTCTGATGAGGAAAAAATTGCAGTACGATAGATGTGACTGGAAGTGCCCAAAATAAAAGTCCATGAGTGGTTTAATGGTGAGTTGCTGCCTCAATACATAAATAGCACCAATAGTTTGATTAAGTGTTTTGCGTAAAGCTGCAAGGGCTGGCTGGAAGTTTAGTTGTGAATCAATGAAAATTCCAAGATATTTAAATGTGTCCACCACATTTATATGGAAGTCATCCAATATCTTCAGTATATTTTGAGGAACATTACCGAATATCATAGCTTGAGACTTGCAAAGATTAAGCACCAACTTGTTATTACTGTAATATTCATTAAGGAGGGAAAGATCATCTTTAATATAGTCGGATGCTTCATCAAATTGATCTTTGCTAAGATCAAATAACAATACAGTGTCGTCGGCAAACATAAAAATCTTGGAATTAGTTGACAGTTCCTTCATGTCATTAACATAAATTGAGAACAGCTTTGGTCCTTTTTGTGTGCCTTGGGGAATTCCTCTTTTTAAATGTCCAATATAACTCGTTGCCTCATTTATCTTCACACACTGTATTCGATTTGAGAGAAAGTCTTTCAGTAGATCATATGCTTTGTCGCGAATGCCATAATGTTCCAACTTTGCTAACAATATTTCATGATTTACCATGTCAAAGGCTTTACTCAAGTCTAGTGATATAACTATGGCAATCCGATTATTATCCAGTATTTTTGAAATGGTAGATACAACTTTCGCCATAACATCCTCACAGCTACGCCCTTTCTTAAAGCCAAATTGATAATGGTCAAGAATATCATGCTGTGTAAAAAATTCATTTAGTTGAGTTAACATAACTTCTTCAATTACTTTATCAAGTGCTGTAGTCACAGAAACTGGCCTATAATTCTCTTTTATTAATTGAGAGTCCTTCTTGTGTAGCGGATGAACTAAAGTTGCTTTTAGTTCTGATGGATAAATCCCAAAGATGAACATCTGGTTGATTAAGATCATTGCATATTTAGCAATCACATCACTGGTTTCGGATAGAATGAACGGAGAAATGCCATCAATTCCAGTTGCCTTTCCAATATCCAGATTTTTTAAAATGCACAAAATGTCGTCCAAAGATACAGACTCAAAAGAGAATGAATGAGAGATCCTTTCTCCTAAAATTACATGATTAGATGAAAATGACTCTGATAAACCGACTATTGACATAAAGTAATCTTGAAACACGTTCGCAACTAATTGATCATCCATAATGTTAACTCCTTTTTCCAAAAGAATAATGCTGTTTTTAACTCTTTTTCTTCCGCTAAGATGATTAAGTACTGACCATGATTCTTTAGTGTTAAGAATAGCCTTATCGTTGAAGAAAGCCTTTGATTTAAGTATGCTATAACTTTCTTTTTGATTAATTATTTCTTTTAAATTCCTTTCCAGAAATGATGTAGGCCTGCCGCTGGTCTTCAAGTCATGTATATGATTCAAGAGATTCGTGATTCTGTTGCAAAAATTGATATAGACATTATCAATCCATTTTGGGACATCTATAGTTGGACTCACATTTTTGAGAGTGACATAAACAGTATTTTCATGCATAATTGATTTAATGAAGTTGATGATGTCTTTACACATGACTCGTGGATTGAGATTAATAGGCAAGTTCATAATATCACTTTTAATTGATTCAATCACTTTTTTCTTATTAATTCTTTTTATTTTCATGGACGTCAACGAGACATTATCAGTATTGGAGCCAAATTCCTTCATAAATATGATGTTGTGATCCGAAAAACCATTGGTGATTATATTGTTCGTTGTTAAGGTGAAAACATCACATCTATCTTTGTCTACGACAATATGGTCAATTATCGAGTGATTATTTGTGATAGTATTGAATCTAGTGATGGCATTGTTGATGACGGAAAGATTAAAGTTACATAGAAGTGAAGAATACGTATTTGGTGTTGAATCATTGTAATCATTTGGTCTGCTTAAATTAATATCACCCATAATTACAATTTTGCTATCATTTCTCATAAGCAGAGACTCAAATGCTTTCAAAAATGCTTCCTTATTTCCAGACGGTGGGCGATAAATACCCACAAAATTTCTTGGCACATCATCATGTTTTATCACTTCTATTTGGAGTATTTCATAGTCGGTAGATAGTTCAGCGAATTTGATAGATGATCTTAAATCATTTTTAATATAGAAACCAATTCCTCCTCCTTTTCTATCATTTCTCAATTGAGTGTAAAGTTTGTAACCACTAAGGTTGAAGAGATTAAATTTACTGGATATCTTTCCAAACTCAGTTATTAAAATTAAATCTAGAATTAGCGAATTATGTGCCCGATCACCATTATCCTTATCTGCTAAAGCAAGAGAAATATCATTCAATTTATTTAATTTGCGTTGATTAATTGTGTTGATGTTCCAAAGCATGCATAAGAATGGATATTTGTAGATACAGTTGATATTCTTATTTTGATAATTTAAAATTGATTTTATTTTTTCCAGGTTGAGATTAAGTTTATTAAAACTAGACATAAAGTCATCATCTACATAATTTGATTGCTGTAACTGTTCTGAAGAGATGACTTTAGTGGATAATGAAGATGGAAGGGCTGTACATCATTTAGACTGTGAGGCAAGGGGGACTATCGAGACATTCATGTCCTCATCATCCGTTGCTTCATATTCATCATTATTAGAATTAGATTGAAAGACGTAATTATCTCGAATCTTTAATCTATCCTCGAGTGTTTTTGAGAAATATTCGGAATTGTATGCTTGAGAGGTAGGTACCGTAAAATTGAAATCTTTTAGTTTCTTTCGTAGTAAGTCCAGTTTTCTAAAAGAGTTTACAAATGACGAGCTGTAAGATGATCCATTTTCTCTTTGTAATTCCTTGTGATACACTTTGATGCCGTCAGTGGTAATAAAAACTTTGTTCAAAACATTACAGCGTTTCATTTCATTACAAGGTCTTAACAATGAGCGAATTTCAAACGACCAATCTGTATTAACCTTGTATCTCATTAAATTAGACTGCCCAGTTTCTTCCAGGTTCTTATTAAATTTTCTTATTCCATTCTTCACGATGGTAGCTAATGTTGAATTCACAAAGATGCAGCACAAAGCAATTTCTGGTGCTACTTGATCAGGTGAGAATGTTCTTGACTGATAGAAGAACGATTCAATAGGGTATTGGGACATATTAATGTGGACATTTAGCTGTGATAGCATTTCCTTAATAGATGCAAACGAGTTTTTGTCTCTCAGGTTTTCAGCATCAGAAGTATACGCAAACCGTATCCAAATTCTTCTTGAATCCCTTGCACATAGGTGAGCAATTTTTAAACATTCCGTTTCATCATTTGATTTAATATCTTTAATCTCTCTCCTCACATGATTAATTTCGTTACTTATGAACGTTGTACACGTTTTGAGCTCTTTAGTGAATTTGTTTATAGTTACTTCGTTCCTTGATACAATTGCATTTTTTAACTGAATAGTAAGATCAATCATAGTTTTGTTCATATTACTCATAACAGTGAATAGCTTTTTGACATCAAGTTCCTCACATTTGGTAAGTTGCTCGTATTCATTGGATACTGCAGATGCTGACGTAATTAAAGTGTTGATTTCCGTTAGCGATTTAATATTTGGTTCCAAGATTTCATCAGGTATTTTTTCACGGTTTTCATCAAATCGAGAGACGCGAGTGTCACTAGATTTACTGAAGAAGTCATTGATTTTCGCGAATTTGTTTCTTGAGTTGTCATGGTTGAAGTGTTTGGTCCTGCTTTCTCTAGGTTTTTTTGAACTTCCCGCATATAATTTAGCGACTTCATCTGGAACTTTTCCTGTCTTTTGAGGAGTTGGAGCCATAATAATGAATAAACTAGATGATGAATTAAATCTTGTAGATGAGATGCAATGTAAAATTAATTACAATTAAGAGATCCAGTAAAATAAATTACAGAATTTAGGTGCAATATGTAAAATTAATTACAGTTTTTGTTATTTGTAAAATTAATTACAATTTTTATTATGTAAAATTAATTACAATATTAGGGAACTGTAAAATTAATTACAGGAGAAAAGTTGTTAATTAAAACACAGATGAATGAAGATTTAATTTCGATAAATATTTTCTTTGAGGTTTGTTTAAATCGAGATTAATTAAAAACTCAGATTATGACTTTGTTTGATGATAAATCAGTCCAAATCGACGCTCCTGCTATTCAGCAACTACCAAAGGCTATAAATTGACAAATTTTGATCCAAAATGATAATGAGTATGGCTTTAATTAATTGAATGTTGATTTTTTCGAGAAATTTTTACAGACTTATGAGAAAATAGTTTCTGTCTTTGCGAAGCACATACAAAAGATGATGAAAAAATCACAATCTCAGTTTCAATTTCCGTCAACACACGTCTTATGTGACTTTGGTTTCATATTTGAACGCTTTTGCCGAAGAACGTGACGTGAAAAAACGGTCATTTGGAATTTGAAAATGATTTGACCGATTTTTACAAAACAAAGAAATTTTTTTTTTGTTTACACACGTAAAATTAAATTTTATTATTTTTTTTATTGAGTTTATTGTACTTTAATTCAAAATGGTTAGAGAAAAACAACAGACAAGTGAACTGAACACTCAAGGATGTAATCTTAAGAATCAGAATACAAGCTGCAAAAATAATTGTAAAAATAAATTCACCGAACAAAAAATTCAGCAAATCAAGCAAAATTACAGGAGTTTTGATTATCAGGCAAGAGTGGCATTTATAGTAGCATCAGTTGACTCATCAGATCCTCAACGAAAAAAATATTTTCTTCTTGGAAAGTCGGTATGTGTTTTATTTTACACTTCAATTTTGGAAATTTCTAAGAATGTCATTAGGCTAGCTTTGGATAAGTTTAAAAAAGAAGACACTTCAGATAGACGTGGAAAACATGGAAACCATTATTTGCTATCAGAAAATAAGAGAGAAGCAGTCATCTCTCATATTCGTAGTTTTCCCACGTACTGTAGTCATTACAAATTATTGGCAAATTTATTAGTATAAGAAAAATCACTAATTTTATTGTAAGAATAACCGTTGATCAGTTTTAAAAAAATTTCTTTGTTTTGTAAAAATCGGTCTAATCATTTTCAAATTCCAAATGACCGTTTTTTCACGTCACGTTCTTCGGCAAAAGCGTTCATTTCTTTTTGATCATTTTGGAAAAAAAATATGGAATGATTTAAAATGGTTTCCGACTTTTTTTTCAAAAGACAGCTTTGTCTGCTGTTATGTTGTTAATGCTGGTCGCGGTTTAAAGACATTAGACAAACGATTAGAATGGAATAAAATATTCGATGAATACATTAAAAGCCTTGATAAGAAAAAGCCGGTTATCATAGCTGGCGATCTCAATGTCGCACATAATGAAATTGATTTAGCGAATCCACAATCGAATCACAAGACTGCTGGATTCACAAAAGAAGAACGTGAAGGATTTACAAAGTTCCTCAGTTATGGTTTTATTGATACATTCCGTGAGCTTTATCCTGATCAAACAGGAGCTTATACTTTTTGGTCATATATGCGAAAGTAAGCTTGACGCTGATTCTCATACATTAAATGCACAAATCAACTTAACGCTCTTTTCAATTTGCAGCGCACGTGCCAAAAATGTTGGATGGCGTTTAGATTATTTTATAGTCAGCAAGCGATTTATGAGCAAAGTGAAGGATAATATCATTCGATCTTCAGTTAAAGGCAGCGATCATTGTCCGATAGTTTTGTATTTAAAGGTTTAAGTTGAGCATCTACATGATTAAATATTGATATGTTGTAATTGAATTACTGGCAGTGCTATATATGCAACAATAATAATAATAATTCATAACGAGAACTGGATCTTGACAAATTAATTTTAAACTAACTTAATGTTCCAGTTGAGTTTACATCAATTCCAATAATTCTACAATTACTCATAATTCCCCATTAGTATCTCATTACTAACCGCAAGCCACTACCTTATTGTGCCTTATTGTGTTATCGTCATGTAAGATTCTATGTCAAGCACACAAAAGAGAATAAATTTAGATGAGAAAAGGCACGGCATGCAAAAAAAATACTCCATCTGCCCACCTTGCATACATAATAAAATTCCTATCTACTGAATCCAATGACAATGTGATGACTGGATTTGCAAATAATTTAATTTAAGTATAACAACTTCATGTTACAGATGCCTTGATTCCTTTATGCATATTTCACAGCTTTTTTTTTTCATTGAACATACGAAAAAAAATTGAATTAGTAGTTATAATAATAATAAAATGAGAAAATTATAATGAATAGTGAAGCATTTAAAGGTCTTTCACTAGACTTAGGGTGTGTTATAGTGTATCTCGTGTTGCGCTGTTGAACTTCAACAAATGAATATTATTTCATCTCGAATTATTCTGTCTGTTCCTCCTTATTTTATTATTATTGGTTGTATACATTACTACCTTCATTGTGGAAATGATTGAGTAAAGTAGCATTAATAGAAAAATTATAAATAAATCAATTAATGAGTCATATATATGCGCGATATTGATTGTCGGATAATCAAGAATATTTTTTGTGTTATAATTTATTGGCACTTGGAAGTTAATTCCTTAATGCTCATGTTGGAACTCTGACATACCTAGACATTTTGTTCTGTTCATTTTCAGCCGTTTTTTTGAATTTTTGAACTTTATCTAATTTTTGAACTTAAAATATTTTCGAACGTTATTTTTCAAATATTTTTTGACCGTTGTTTTTCGATTTCTGACTTCGAATTATTTTCATGACCAAGACTAGTATTTTACATTCCGACTAAAATGAACAGAATCCTAGTTAACCATAACTCATTTTTTATGCTTTGACATTTTGATGGCATGAAGAGATCAGTAAAATGTCATAAAATAAAACAACTTATGTGCATTTAAAATGAACAATTTCATTAAGATGTGCATAATCTTGTGTGTGTGTTTTCCATACAACTGACCTTAACTTCAGCATTAGTTTCATTAATTCATTACAATTAAATCGAGCATTTAATAACAAAGAATTTTGTGAAATTGCAAAATCTAAAGTGTGTAAAATTTATTAATTGGATTATATTGTTGCTTAGAAATGTGGATCAAATTGTTATTAAACTTCAAGGATTAGACACTTTCGCGAGCATTAATTACATTAATTCATTGATTTTCAATTAACTGCATTTTTTGCACGTTTTTTGGAAATAAAAGCCGTAATTTTGTATTAAAAGCTCGTAATTGAGTTAACAAAGCCTGATATTAACATTGAAAATTTTAAATTGGATCGATTTTCTACTTTTGGGGATAATTTTAATTTTTGCTGTCGTTTTGAATTTTCAACGGTTTTTTAAATTTAAATTTCCAACTGTCATTTTGAATTTGAATTCTTTGCATCTTTAAGATTTTTTTTTTGCGTTTTTTTGACTTTTTTGAAATTTATTTCCGTTAAATGACGCGAGGCTATTCTAAAACACTTCAAACAACTAAACGTGATCGATTCGTGATACACGAGAACACCGCATTAAAATAACTATTCAATTAAAAATATTTCACATTCAAAGAATACATCAGAATCATTTCAATGGACTTGTTATGATTATGTAAGGTGTAGAACCGTAAATGAATCAAAAACATGCATTGGGTGGTGTTTCATATGACTCAACAATTTGTATATAACATATTTGAAACGCAAAATAAGAGAACTCATAAACACATATTGCGAGGAAATAATAATAAAATCAGATTAATTTGAAAAACAAGCAGAGTTAGTAAAATAAAATCCTTCTAATGTCATCAATTCAACCGTCACAATAAATAATTTTAATGAGAATATGAAATATTTTTCCTCTGTGTACAGAACAGTAACATTGAATGAGTTCAAGTTTGCGCTAAGATTACATGTCACAGATTGAACAAAGTATACGGAATAATGAGAAAAGAGTGATCATTCTTTATTCTTGGCATGTTGGTGCCCTCCTGAATCTTACTTAGAATGAGTCTCAATTAAATTCAAATAAATTATTTTGCTGTACGTAGGCAACGCCTAATTTAAGTATGTTTGGTCATTAAAAATGTATTCTTTGTTAATTTTGACTGTTGTTAATTTTATGGTGCTGAATAAAATGAAAATTCTTTATTAAATCACATTCTAAGTTTTAAAGATAATTACGTTCAATTATGAAAATTATTTTAAATTAATTAGAATTAGTCAAATAACAAACTGTTGAGGCAGACTCATGCTTTTTATTGAATCTCGTGAAACACATTCTGTTATTCTCAGCGACAGGTTTGAAAAAATGATGAGTTATTTATTTTCGTCTAGTCGATTTAATAGTTCCTAAATTCATGGCGCTTCTTCTTTTTATATTTTTAAAAATTCTTTTATTTAAAACACGTTATCGGTACTTAAGGAACCGTAACTTGAATTGGTTTCTTGCTAATCCAGATTTGAAAAAGTTCAAAAATTCATTCAACCAGATATTTGAATAATTTTGTAGTAAAATCTTGTAGTAAATTGTTTGGATGATTCTATTAATATAAGGTGATGATCAGACACAAAGCCAGACATTTTTAAGGGGTTGATTTAACTTTTTTTCTTGGTGTTGATTTAATGTTTTGCAGTTCAGATCAACTGTGATTTATGGCTTCGCCTAGTCGCTCCTTAAAGCCTGCTATTGTCCTAATAATAAGAGCAATGCAGTTGCAAACAAGAACGAGAGGAGAGGCTGAGATTTTGTGTAACTTCAAACAATGGCAATTTTTATTTAAAAGTTCAAATTTTTGTGCTCTCTTAAAAATCCCGAAAATCATATTGAAGGATTCTAATCAATCACCTCCTTACTACGCTCCTGATGATGTTAAAAAACCAGACTTTTTTCACTGGAAATTATGCAAATTTTTAAAAATGGATAGTAAATAGAATTAGACTGTGCTGTCCAGGATTTCAAGTTTTTTTGGAATGTTATTCTTTTTATGACATAATATTTAACAGGAGTGTGAATTTTTTCGTACCTATGAAGGCATGCAATAAAATAAGATGATAAAGTCTAAAATTAAGCACAATCGTAAAATTTTAAGTGATCTGTGTAATTTATAGATATGAAGACTTAAGAATTTATGATTTTTTTAAGGAGATCATGAAAACTTAGAACTTGGTATCCAAGCTCGTAAACGCAACAATTTTGATTTCAATTCTAAGTGTAAACTTCTCAAATCGTGATCTTTCAATTCAATTTTCATGCCTTACAACAATCTTGTTAAAATTATACTCATCAGAATAATTAGCATAGAATATCACCTCTGGCGGCTCAAAACCAATAATTTATCAAGAAGCTCATTATTGTCATAAAATTATCGATTCTGTATTCAAAGCTTCTCTCTAATGACTTTTTACGATTCTCGTCGCTCACAAATTGCTTTAATGCATCGTACATCAACAGAATTCTAATTAAGCTACAATCACATTTGACGATATAAATTTTCAATTAAAAAAAAAAAAAAAAAAAAAAAAAAAAAAAAAAAAAAAAAAAAAAAAAAAAAAAAAAACCTTTACCTATTCAGATCAATTGTGATCCAGAGGTGCGCTAAGGCGATTCGCAGCTAATGTGAGTTTAACGAGTAAGGATGCGCCAAATCACTGCACTCAAACCTAGACCTACAATTTATAGTGGAATCCGAACCACTCCTTTGATGACATTTCTGTCTGTAGCCTACAAAGGAAGGCTGTGAGCCTCATTTCCAGTACATATGATTCGAAAAAGGACAAGTGAAAAATTTCTCATACCCAGTCTCGAACCCATGATCGCTGTGTCGGTATTGCAATAATTAGGTACCGAAGTACTAAACCATTCCGCCACCGAGCCACTTCAGCTCACAAATCAATTAATGCTGATAATTATAGCTTTTTTTTTCTTTCAATTTTAATCGTGTTTGCGCATTCATTGGTTTTTTTAAATTATTACAGTGTGATATTTCATAGATGGGAAATTTTATTATTTACTAATTTTACGTAACGCTTGCTTATTCCTGCTATTAGACCTCACACTGGGGCGAAATGCTCTTTCTGTTTGTAAAACAGTGATGTAGATATTAATGATGTTTTCAATAGGATTAGATATTAATGCATCAAGGGGTGCTGGATTTTGTGGCTTTTAATTAGACATAATTTTATGGTTTTGGTAAAAAATTTAAAGAGAAATTTGCATAAAGTTTGAAAGGATTTTTGACGTAATCGTGTGATTTTATATTGGTGGAATTAGAGCATAATTTGATTGTATATTATTAGATTAAGTGCTTGGGTGTGTTGACAGGTTTCATTATAATCATTTTTATATGGAAGATTCGATGATTTTTCACCATCGCTTATAAGGAACTTAATTTAGATACCATACTTATGAACGGTAGTGATATTTTTTGTTCAAAAACCAAGATTTGAAAAATCCATGCTTAATACTACATTAGCTTTATCAGAAGTAGCTAGTAAAATCAGTAGTAGCCAATAGTAGCGATGACTTTATTGCTCAAAAATGAAACAAGAATTTAATGTACAGCGGACTGCAAAATTCTGGAAAAAATTGCCTAGTCTAGTTTTCTCTGGGAGCTTAGTAGTAGCAGTTTTAAACCAAAATTGTAGTAAGTTGATTCTAGTCCAACTTTGGATTCTTACTTCGAAAAAAGTAACAAATTTTGAACAACCTGTAGATTGACTTTAAGATTTATATACCTTCATAATTTCTTCTTTCTCAATCATCATTAATCCTCATTTTTTTTACAAATTTGTTCCATTCAATCAACTTCAATTGCCTTAAACATCTCAATATTTTACGAGCGTAATTTTCAAGTTTAATAATTTTTTCTCTCAAACCGTTAGTGAACTAATTTCATAAATAATTAAGTCATTTCTCTGCAATTTTTGCAGACCTAAATTTTTCAACACGATAATACTGTTCAGCTACATTGTTGGACGAGCATAAATTTCTAGTCTTGCACGCAATTATTTTTGATATTTTTATTTTTCTTCAGAAAATTACTGCAATTTTTCAAACAAGTCTTTTGTCTTTTGAAGCCTATGCGAATGAGATTCTATAATTTGTGTGCATTATTGTATTATTTGCCCATTCCAAGCACATGGATGTAATGACATAAATTGACTTCAATTACTCGGAAATCGATTATTCTGCATCATACAGTAAAAAATGCCAAAATCAAGAAAAAAATGCATTCAAATTACTTCCATTACAATTTCTTCTGCTTCATGATTCAAAAAAAAAATCATACTTAAATTCATAAATATGTGGAACGTCGATAAAGTTGCAAGCGGTTAACTTTCACTTTCTTTTTTCTCTCATGTAAGTGTTAAACTGCCTTAAAAACTAGTCTTATTCTTCTTTATTATCATCACATTTGCAAATCGTATTATGACAAATAACTTACAATTTTTAGGCTCATGTGGTAATCCGTGGGATGCTTGATAAATTAAAAACACAATTGTTATTATTATTAATCTCATTATTTTTTTTGTCTTTTTTATTTGTTTTTAATTAAATTTCACTTTTAACTTTATTATTTTTATTATAATTTCATTTCTTTCACAAGGAACAAAAAAATCAATTTTAAAGTCCCGCTAGCCAAATTTCTCCAAACCGTTACCGACAAAATGTTAAAACGTACTGACTGTGAATCATGAAAATCATGAAAATTTTTACCAATTCAAGACATTTCGAGCCGCTCTCTGGAGTTCTCTTCAAAGCACAATATAACAATAAAAATACTTTAATTTTAACATTTTTTGTATGAAGTAAAGCTTTTAAAGCTGTGCGGATTGATCTCTTTTATAGCATTTGAGTGCTATAATTCTCTCATTTACTCAATTTCTTACATGCTGTTTTGCTCATTCTTGAAAGAAAATTTTACGATCACAAATAACTGATTGAATAGTCATTTCCTAGTTGTTAAATGATGTTATTTTGTCTTAAGATCGAATCTGAAGCTATAAATCTTGTGCTATGTCTATAATGGAACAAAGAAAGTCTACATAAATTAAATGTTTGGTGAGCAGCAACAAGAAAAGGAGCATAAAAACTTATGACTTTCTTTCATTATTAATGTACGATTATTGATCGATATCCATTGAGATATTAAGTCTTTTTCGATCTCAATCTTAACTTACGATTTAATTTACAATGAGGCGGGACAATGTTATTGTAATGTAGATGGATGGAATTGGTAAGAAACTTCTGAATTGATGTGGATTAAAAGTGCATTTTTTTGTCAGATCTTGAACTGAATTGGTGTCTAATATTTTAACTTAAGCTAGCTTAATTTTACTTATAAATAGTGTTGTTCTTGGTTGAAAAAGCTTCAGTCTTTGTTCAGATGAAGATTACAATGATTATTTACAATAAGTATAACTAAAGATTCCTTGATTTAATCATCAAGAACAATCTTAATCCTTCGGAGTCCAAAAATAGACAGTTAAACATTTCTATTAAGGCGACTTACAACTTTAAACAGGGAAAAATCAACTATTTCTTGTTGCGTGCATAATTTAAACATAAAATGAGTGTTAACATATTCTCAACCGTCCTTAACAATCCTTAAATCATTTAACTGAAAAAGAAATTATAATATAAAACCAGACAGTAATGCAGACAAAGTATCCACATTAGCACCTGTCAAACAAATCACAAAATATGAGCAAAAAATCTAATTTATTAGCATATTATGAACTTTTTTTTTGAGACTTATTGGTTAAAAGTGCAGGCATTATATAAACAAGATATTAACTTAGAGGATGGAGCACAGCCTTATGTCTATATTAATTATTAATTATTTTCATCTTGCATAATTACATGTTGCGTTATGGCAAAATAATCTACTCTCTAAGTTTAATGAAGTAGAGGAAATTTCTTTGAAATTGTCATCGACATAAATGAGGCGAGATTTGTTATAATTATTCAGTAATGCTAACGTTCAGTTTTTGATCATTATTGGCTACTAATGGATATGAAACTACCAATTTTTCGTTTGCAAAATTTTATAGCATGATATGTAAAAGTAGCCAGCATATGCTCAAAAAAATAATAATAGCTAATGAGGAAGACATTGTGCAATGAAGTGCAATAATCGTATTTTTACGGATTTGAACGTGCGCACATATAAATAAATATATTAATATGGATATGAGAGGGAAATGTTTCTTTCTGCTTATGAGTTTAATGATATGTTTATTGCTGTACTACTGCAACTTACATCATAATTTTCCAGCTGATTATTGGACTTGCTGTGTTTATTATGAGCGAATGTTGAATTGTAAATAGATTTGTGTAGATGATGTGCTTGTGGTTATTTTTTTGTGATTATTTTTCAATTTATTTTAAACGAGTTTTTAACTTCTAGAATTCAATTAGATACTTATTCTAGAAATTATTATCTGTGACTAAATAAGCATTGACCTCATGAGTAAACAAGCATATTTAAGTTTTTTTTGCCCACGGCACATTTTAACCTTCTTACTTTATAAATCAATAAGTTTTTTTTGTATAGGCTGGGAAAATTTCGCATTGAGAGGTTTTAAATCTTTTAAAATGTTTAACTAATTTAAGCTAAGTTCGTGGTTCTATACAAAATGATCTTCAGGGAATCAAACTAGTGTATCGGGTAGAAACACAATGCGGATATATTCACACCGTACCATCAAAAGTCTTATGGATAGAGCAAGATTTGCTCAGCATAAGTTTGAAGGGTGTGCGTGAAGTACGGCCGAGATCCATATCGACACAGTTCAAAAGTTATACCTAATTTATGTCATAATTATGTCAGCTACAAAAACACTTAGTTTGAATTTTGTCACCCTCGGGAAAACTATGAACCAGTATAGCTGATTTTGGTCCAAATCTCGGCCATGCTTCACACTTATTTGAACCAAATTTTCTCGTAAATGTTAAAATATTATTAAAAAGTAATTTATCCAGAATTATGTCGCTATTTTGTCAAGTGTTTTAAGATAAAGAATTTGTTTTTTGATTTCCACAGTGAAGAGTATGAACAAAATTCAGATGGGGTAGTCGAAATTTTAGATTTCGATTTTTTTTAAGCTATGCATTACAAAAAGTAATATTGGTATGTGATTTATGTCAGAAATATGTCAATTCAAACAAAACATCCTAAATTTTTTAGAGCAAAGAACCAAGAAGGAAATTCATTTTCAATTTTGGACTAGGGGCGACCCTAGTCAAAATCAATTTTGTCACTTTTTTCTTCGAGGGTTTATCCAAATAGATTGAAACTTTGCATAAATATTGTAGTGCTTAAAACAAATACAAATAAAACATCTAAAAAATTTTTTGAGCAAAACACCAAGTAGGAAATACATTTTCAATTTTGGACTAGGGGCGACCCTAGTCAAAATCAATTTTGTCACTTTTTTCTTCGAGGGTTTATCCAAATAGATTGAAACTTTGCATAAATATTGTAGTGCTTAAAACAAATACAAATAAAACATCTAAAAAATTTTTTGAGCAAAGAACCAAGTAGGAAATACATTTTCAATTTTGGACTAGGGGCGACCCTAGTCAAAATCAATTTTCTCACTTTTTTCTTCGAGGGTTTATCCAAATAGATTGAAACTTTGCATAAATATTCTAGTGCTTAAAACAAATACAAATAAAATATCCAAAAATTTTTTTGAGCAAAGAACCAAGTAGGAAATACATTTTCAATTTTGGACTAGGGGCGACCCTAGTCAAAATCAATTTTCTCACTTTTTTCTTCGAGGGTTTATCCAAATGGATTGAAACTTTGCATAAATATTGTAGTGCTTAAAACAAATACAAATAAAATATCCAAAAATTTTTTTGAGCAAAGAACCAAGTAGGAAATACATTTTCAATTTTGGACTAGGGGCGACCCTAGTCAAAATCAATTTTCTCACTTTTTTCTTCGAGGGTTTATCCAAATAGATTGAAACTTTGCATAAATATTCTAGTGCTTAAAACAAATACAAATAAAACATCTAAAAAATTTTTTGAGCAAAACACCAAGTAGGAAATACATTTTCAATTTTGGACTAGGGGCGACCCTAGTCAAAATCAATTTTGTCACTTTTTTCTTCGAGGGTTTATCCAAATGGATTGAAACTTTGCATAAATATTGTAGTGCTTAAAACAAATACAAATAAAATATCCAAAAATTTTTTGAGCAAAGAACCAAGTAGGAAATACATTTTCAATTTTGGACTAGGGGCGACCCTAGTCAAAATCAATTTTCTCACTTTTTTCTTCGAGGGTTTATCCAAATGGATTGAAACTTTGCATAAATATTGTAGTGCTTAAAACAAATACAAATAAAATATCCAAAAATTTTTTTGAGCAAAGAACCAAGTAGGAAATACATTTTCAATTTTGGACTAGGGGCGACCCTAGTCAAAATCAATTTTCTCACTTTTTTCTTCGAGGGTTTATCCAAATGGATTGAAACTTTGCATGAATATTTTAATGCACAAAACAAATACAAATAAAATATCCTAAAATTTTTTTGAGCAAAGAACCAAGTAGGAAATACATTTTCAATTTTGGACTAGGGGCGACCCTAGTCAAAATCAATTTTGTCACTTTTTTCTTCGAGGGACGACCCTAGTCCAAAATTGAAAATGTATTTCCTACTTGGTTCTTTGCTCAAAAAATTTTTTCATCCAAAGTTTAATTTTATAAAAATCACAGTGAACTTTTAATTTGAAAAATTCGTAAGAAAGGAAAGTTTTTTGCTATTTCTGAAGCAACGGCTGTTCCTACCTTGCCTTAAAACAATACAGCTCTTCTATAGAGCAGCACGGATGAAATGTAAAAAACCAGAAGTCCATACAATGTCTCGTTATTGAGATTTCTTGCTGATTAACTTGCTTGTTTGCTTGTTTGCTTGTTTACAGAAAGCATATTTTGCGATTTTCTCAGAAATGCCGCAACCAATTTGAAATCTGTTTTTTGCAAAAGATGTGAAATTCAAGGCACAAACTTTTCATCTCTGAACATTTTAAGCTATCTTGCTCGATATCCTGATCCAAAAAACTGATTTTTCAATCTGAACAAAACCAATCCCACGTAACCAAAATCGCCGTCAATGAAAAAATCGACTTAAATGTACAATTTTTTGGATGATCCAATAGACGTCGATTTTTCATCCATTACATTCGTTTTTCTTGAGCCGCTATATACTTCACAAGTGCAATCAGAAATCACTTATATAAGGCACAGCCAAATTTTCATACAAAGTGTGATTAATTAATTAAATTAATTACATGCGAATCATTCATTTAAATGAAGACTTCGACTCTTTTTTTCAAAGACAAAATCCTTAATTAATGTTTTTGGATTTTGTCTACAAATTATAGTATAATTAACAAAAAATATTTTCATACAAAAAAATTCAAAAATTTTCCGTTAATCGGTTTTTATATTGTAACGGTCAAAAAAAATTTGATTTTGGGTCAAAAAAATAATCGACGTGATATCGACGTAAAATCGACTAAAAATCGTCCCTTTTCATATTAGCATAATGTCCAATGTACGATACATGGAATGTACATATGGAACATACATGGAAGATTTTGATGTAATACATAAAATCTTCCATTCGTCGACTTATGGTTACGTGGGATAGATTCACACGTGAAAACGGTGTGAATATAAAAATCGTAAATTTGACGTCAGAGTTCAGTTTTACTTTGAGATACACAGGAACAACCCTAAGCATAAAGCATAAAGTAAAAGACTCTGAGTTTCAGCAACGAGATCAAGGTACCAAAATTCAGTGAACAAGAGATTCATAATCCATATTTATTATTATTATTTATTTATTTGTCGTCGTCACCGTCCGGAAGAATTAGTACTTATACATGTTTTACTTTTTACATTGATTA